GGGGGGGGGGGGGGGGGGGGGGGGGGGGGCAAAAGTCCAAGCAGCACAGGCACCAGTGCTGCAAAAGCCCGGGTCTGTTCATAAATAAAACTAAAGTAGCTCTAAGTAACAGTGTTACAACTCTATTCCTAGTTTCTGCATAATTCCAGGGTAGGATGGGGCTCTCCCCCAACCCGTCGCCCTCCTCAGGAGTTCGTCCTGGATCCGCCTATGGTGCGACTGCATATCTAGAAACCTATGAAAGGTGGGGGACACTAGGAAACATTTCGCAGTTAGTAAATCTCAAAAAAAACCCCCGCTGGTAAGGCTACCGATGGCTTCCGCTTTCGAAGAATGCTTACAAGCAAGCTGATGGCGAGTTTCTCTCCTTGGCATATGCCAGTACTACACCAAAACAGCAAAAAATACGGGAATTGCGAGCTTACTTTCCTCGTGCATTCCACTTCCCAAATACGTATACATCCATCTGCACCACCTGTATACAGCCTCTGCGGTTGTCCCTCAATACTTCGATCAAATCGGACTGTTTTCTGAAAAAAAAAGTGAAAAAATACACCCATGTTCCTGGGATTTTACATTTCTTGACCTGAATTTTTTGCATACATACGTATATACGCAAAAAATGTGTGAAAAAAACTCGACTCTGAAGCAGACTTCGCAATTCCGAAATAACTGGCCAACGCACCGGCTGCCGGTATGAAGACGCGTTTTTTGCATAGTTCCCCGCAGTTTTTGTCACTTCTGACACCGGTTTTTCCAGCAAATGCTTAATAAATTAAGACTGGCCGTCAGAAGCATCAGGAAACATCCTTTTAAAATTTCAGCTTTCTAGCTTTCCTGGCTCTCGAGTTAGCAACTTACTCGACAAAAACATTCACGGGCCTGTACGTGGGTACAACGCATAGCCAATGTCTGCGTTCGAAGTCATTAATACCTACTTGGATGGGGAACATCCCCTCAAAATTCCAATCCTTTAGCTTCTTACCCGAGTTAGCAAGTTACCGAAGAAGAATTTTCACGGGCCCGTACGTGGATGTAGATCCTGTTCCCAATGTTTCAGCCCTGCAGCTTTTGTAGGTCTTGAGATGAAAAACCGTGACAGACGCACACATAGGCATATATATACACAGACCACCCATCGTCAATCTGCGTTTTCTGCATTGCATAGATGCAAAAAAAAAAAAAAAACCGCATAAAAAAAAGCTCACAGATATAACTAAGACTCAAAAAGCTCACAAAACTATTCAATTTATATCCACCGATACAGTCCAATGAAACTTTATAATTCGATCAACTGCAAAATTTCGAATGTACAGTTGAATAACTCTCCGATCGTTTTAACTCATACTACATCTCAGGTGGTCAACCAGCCTACTGAAATCCTAACATTCATTCGTCTCCTGAACAGATTACTAACTCAACAATTCTCCTGACAAAAGTATCCGGCAGGGTTTTAGCGATTTCGTGAAGTCCCTGATGATGTGTTTCTGTGCTGCGCATTACCACTTCGAATGTTTGGAAGAATGCCAATTCTAGCTCACGATAAAGTACCTTACTAATTAGGAGACTGAAAAAATTGTTTCAATAAATTTTTTTTAAAAAGTACCTGATATGCATTTTCAGGCTTTTTATCGGATGTTATCCGCAACACGTGCTCAAAATTTAACGTTAAATGTGGACGCTTGTTATTGTCATTTAATTCGGTCAGTGAAAACCCATGCGATTGATAGATATCACAATACTGAAAGCAGGAAAAGCAGTTATCACAAAAAAATAATAAATAAAAAAATCGGAGACTCAAAAAACCCCCAAAATACCTGAAATTAAGAATTCAAAAACCCTCACCAGCTAGCAAAAGGAAATCAATTTCGGTAAGTGAGAAATCGAGGACTCAAAATCCCTCAAAATTAAAATTCCTCCACAGAATTCAAAAACCCTTGACCATTCCAGCAACAGAAACTCGGATTCTCACCATATTCATTTTCAGTGAGAAGCCGAGGCACTCGGAAGTATTCCAAGCATAGCATTTGACAACAGCAACCACACGCTGGTAAAGCTAACAGACAACAGCAACCACACGCTGGTAAAGCTAACAGACAACAGCGACCACAAGCCGGTAAAGCTCCCCTTTCAAGAGCCTTTTAAAAGTAATTGATGGAAAGAGTAGCATTACTGCTGGCAAAGTGCAGTGACATAATAATAAATGAAGTAAAATGGGGGTTGGAAGGAAGTTTTATATGGCAAGGGCGCGTTATGTGTCTAGAGGTGTAGCGTGGTTAAGCGAACGCTCAAAGTTACTGGGAAAAGGACAACTAATTACCTGATCATGTCCAGCAGCTAATAAATACTTGCCCAGTTCCGGAGCTCCCAGGCCAACACAATCCATATTCATGGTTGCATGTGGGTCAGTGTTCAGCTCACTTGTAATTTTCGTTACCAGCGACAATCGTTCCGCAACACCTGGCGTTCCAGCTACTGCAGGAGAGTTGCGATCGAACGAAAGCAGTAGAGTCTTAAAAATAATCGAAATTTTTTGATTGTTACCTTCAAAAAGTCTCATTTTCTTTCCACAGTATAATATTCTTAATTTATTCCAAGTCACAGTCGGATTTAGGGAAGGGGAGGGGAAGGAGGAAAGGATCGAGGGAGGGATAGCGGCACAAGCATGTGTTGCAAAAGCTCAGGTCTAAAACTAAAACTAAAGTAAGCTAAAGCCTAAAGTAACTCCAAGTAGTAGTTTTACAACTCCGTTCC